TGGGTTTAAATCTTGAGAGTACTCTTGTTACTGCTTCTTGTTCCTTTTCTCCCATAGAATCTAAGCTTGACACTGCACACAACACAACAAAAAGATACAATTAGAAATAAAAAAAAGTGAGTAGCTTTTCTTGGGTGTTTATGGAACTTGGAAAGAGTGTTTTTTGAGCACTTTGTTTCAAAGAAGACCAAGCAGCAATAGCTGCATTTTTCTCAGCTTGTTTCTTTGTCTTTGCTGATTCTCCTTTAAAACTCATACCAGCAAGTTCCACAGTACAAGAGAAAGCTGGGAAGTGATAAGATCCTGATCTGACACTTGTGTACATTGGTAAATCAAGACCAGCTCTATGTGCTGTCTCTTGAAGCATGTTCTTGTAAATCCCAGTCTCATCCTTGACAAAAAAAAAAAGATGCTTTTTTTTTTGGTTATATGATCCAGAACACACAAGAAAAGAGAAGTTTTTGATAGTACTTACAAGAATCTTAGCAGTCAGAGACTTTGAAGGGAGTACTCTAGAGGAAAGGACATTAAGTGAAACTTCAGCAGCTGCATGTTCAGCTTGTCTGAGAGTAGAACAGTAAGTGGGACTTTCAAATATCTCACCATTGAAGTTCACTGAAGCTTTGAATCTTGGAGCATGATCTGGTCCTTCTCTTATGCAAGTATATGATGGTAAGTTGAAACAGCTTCTCTGTGCAAGCTCTTGAAGCTGATTCTTATACATTTTTTTTTTTTAATCCCCTGTATGTAAACACAAAGGAGAGGGATTAAAAAGAGAGTTTATGCAGAGGTTTTTGAGGTCTTTATTACTCACATGGTAAGGTTATAAATAAAAGAGAAGAAGAGAAGAGGATGCTAAATCAGTAATAGTGACATTTCAATTGAAGTACGGTTCTGTCTTTTTATATTATTTATAGCATGTGCATACAAGTAACACTTATTATGAACAATACTGTTTACTCTCTTTATTGTCTTTGTCTATTTATGGTGTTTTTGACTGGACAGTTAAAACAAATAATCAATGAATGTTTATGAAAAATGATTCAAGGCTATAAATGTGTTATAGAAGAAGAAGAAGACTGGTTTGGTCTTCTGGTCCACATGTCTGAAAAATTGAGTTTCAGGATCTTTGATTATTTTGAAACAGTTCAAAAGCGTCTGTATTCATTTTGTTTTCTTAACTATTGAAAACTGAAATCAGAGATTACATTAAAACACAATGATTTAAGACTTAACTGTCCGAACACAACTAGAACAAGTAAAAACACTAGTAAACTTCTGAAAAATCACACCACTTTCACAATTTTTCTCTTAGACTTGTTTCTAAGTTCTTCTTGCTGCTAAGGCCATAACTTCTGGTGACATTTCCCAGCTTGAGGGCGTCGGGTTAACGTTTGGCCTATCGATTTGTTCACCATCGTCCATTGCGATCCTAATGTCTGATGATAACTCGTCTAACTCATTGTCCTTAACATGAAACCGTTCATTGTTATTACCATTTTTGTCATCACCATCATGTTCAGCCATTGCCCACACACCTTTCCTCCCAATTTCAATCTCATCATTTGCTCTTCCCATGTTTGGACTCATAAATCCGCCAACAGCTGATCTTGACGGCATTGGAGTTTCCCTCGGTACCATAGCTCTGAAGTTATTCTTCGAAGGAGGTATCGCCGAAAAAAAGATTTCTTTGAAGTTATCAACCACTCCTTTGTTATGTGGGTTGCTACGCCAGTCATAACTGTATCTGAAGTTCTCATATGTAGTCTACAGAAACAAAAGAAGATCAAAACGATTAAACGTGCATAGCGAATGAGATAAGGCTTTTTTTTCGGAAAGAGGCAAAGGATTAGTTACCTGATTTGTGCTGATGAGATAGAGATGGAAAGTTGTTAAGCCTCCAACAAAAAACATCGATATGGATGTATAGATTATCAGAGCAATGGAAGCAGGAGTTTTGAGCATTGCTCTCCAGATGCTTATGTCTTCAGAGTTTTTTATCTTCGTTATATAAACCCAGCAAAAGGCGCACACGTATACACAGAGAAGAGTCGTGGAGAAGACAAACATGAAGAAGAATCGATAATTCCTCTGCAAAATCCCCCCAAAGAAACATTAGAGGAAATTATAGACTGATGCAGAAACCAACGTAGAAGAAAACTGAAAACCGAGAAACTTACTCGGGCAATACATTGACCAACCCAAGGACAGTGATGATCAAACCTTTCAACACAGTTGTTGCAAATTGAACAATGTGAGCAACGAGGGGGTCTATAGAGCATGCAGGTATCACAGTACTTGACCTTAAATATCTTTCCATTAACTTCTACTTCCTTAAGGCGAGGCAATCTCGGAGTTTGGCTTGTCCCTGAATCCGCATTGCCATCAAGAACTTCGGGCTCTGGAGGATGCAAATTTCTTGGGATAATCCCTGGATCTCTTGCGGATGTAAGCATCAGAAGAATTAAATCCTGAGGCAAGCATCAACTGTTAATGAAATGGGCTCTTTGTCACATAACATTTACGATGCAAACAAACACGTTGGTACTCACATAAATGGTGAAGACAACAGCAACAGGGACAATTGATACTCCCCAACTATCAGAGAAGTCCTCCATTAGTTTACTAGCAACGAAGATGCAGAAGATTGCAACAGGAACCACAATGAGACCTATGGTTAGACCAAGTGATCTTGCGTCTGGTCCCAATATAAACCTTCCTTGAAGACAGAATATCTGCAAAAATGGAATAAACAAAAAGAAGAGTATTGTTGGAAGAAATGTTAACACTTCATTAAGAGGGCTTTGAGGCTCAAAATGTTACATTCCAAACTAAACTAATCTTTATCATACACAGTATCAACTTTATAAACGTTGTAGAAGAAGCAATCAAATTTCAATCCTTGAGCTAATTCCCATGGAGAAACCCTAAGTTCTTGGTTAAAGCTAAGATTTTTATTCACAGGGTTAGTCACCTGAAACTGAAAGCTTGTAACACAAACCCTAAGTTCCAATTTTGAGACTAACAATAAAAGAATCTAGCTCAAGAATGAACAACCCAGAAGCAAGAAATATAACAAAAACTCAGAGCTTTGACATGAACTCACATTGCTTCCTTTCCATGTTTGATAAACCCGTAAATCACAATCGGATCCAATTACGGATCTTTGAGGAGGCGTCACTACATACATCTT